GGGTTTAGGGCTTCGGGCTTAGGGAGTTCTGGGTGTTTCAAGGGTTTGAGGGTTTGTGGGTTTCAGGAGTTTTGTTGGGTTTTTGGCGTGCTAGGGCTGAAGACTAGAAAGTGCAGCATTCCCGTTGAGAAATCATCATTACCCATAGGCCCCATAGTAGTTCCTTTTTGCGATTATCTTATAGGATTCCAAATATAAACCCCCAAAAGGAACTACTATGGGGCCTATGGGTATGCCTCTGGCCCCTGAAACCTGTATCCCCAACCCTGAATTCCAAACCGCAGACCTAAGAAGCGAAACCCTAAACCCTAAACCCTAAACCCTAAACCCTAAACCCTAAACCCCAACCCTGAAAGCCCTGAGCCTGGCCGATAAAGCTTAGATTACATCCGAACTTGAGCCTCGAGCCCTATGCCTTTAAACAAGTCCCGAGACTCTGCCGGCGCAGGGGTGACGTGGTGCGCCTTCGACACTTGGGCTGCAGAAGATGTGCAGAGGAGTTGGGACAGGAATGTGTGGATCAAACCGCACGTCTCTAAAGACGGTCGTCACCATTCGTCCTCCATGCATTACGCTTCATCACCCTGCCGGCGCTTCAACCGAAACAAACCCTAAACCCTAACAAACCCTAAACCCTAAACCCTAAACCCTAACAAGCCCTAAACCCTAAACCCTAAGATCGCCCTGCTGTTGTTGGACTACCTGGCCGACCTCGAGTGCACGGGAGAGCGCTTCGACCGGGCCTTGCGGCAGATGGCGGGCTCCCCCCCGCCAGGGCTCTTCGGGTCTTCGTCTTTTCGGGTTTGAGGGTCGAAGGGTGTAGGGCGCGAGGATGGAAGGTATTTTGGGCATTGCGGGATGTTTCGGGGTTTTTGGTAGGTTCTGGCTTGCGCAGATGTTGCGGGCTCTTCAGGCTTTCGGGTGCAGGGCTTCGGATGGACGGGGAAGACTGCAAGTGCGCTTTCTCGAAACTTCAGAATTACGGCTCTATCATTCTATGAGGCGTTCACAAGGTCTACAAGGGTTCTGTGAAGGTGCTAGTCCGGCGTCGGGAGTCAGTTTTGATTTGCTCCTTATCAACAGGACTCGGAAGGCTTGTTGAAGCATGTATGCCGTGTCAGGAACTCGCGTGGTGCGAGCGGCAACGTGCCGCAAGACAGGGGTCCGTGTTCAAGATTCACGGGACCTATATGCAGTTGAACTGGCATATAGGTCCCCCCCCGTCGTCATTGCCACTCGCCACTTTGCCTGTGCATTTTTCCGGGCTTTTCGGCCATGCAAGCCCGTCAGATGCAGGGCTCTGGCTCCCCACCCTGAACCCTGAACCTCACAAAAGACTCTAAACCCTAAACCCTGAACCCTGAACCCCACAAAAGACTCTAAACCCTGAGTCCAAACCCCAACTCCCAAAACACCAGGACCCCAAACCATCCCAAGCACCCGGAACTCTCCCAAAGGGTCTAAGTACTTATATGGTAGCTACTTTGGGGCCCCCAAAATACCTACTACAATGGGTATACTTAGACCCTTTGGGTCGTGGCAGGTAGCCCCAATCTCGGTGTTCATCGGCTTCGGCTGGAAGGGTGCCTTCGCCGCGGCGGGCGCCACGCTGGTTCAGGATGCATCTCGAAGATCTCATAGCCCCGAAGATTTCAAGATAGAGGCCTCTCTAGGGGCTATGTAAGATAAGGGCGTAATTAGGAGGTTTCGTGGTTGAGGCTTTGGGTTCAAGCTGGGGTTTAGGGTTTTTTTGGATGGCTTGGGGGTTTTGGGGATTTGGGAGTTCTTTCGGTTCTAGGATCTCGGGTGTTCGGCGCCGGGGCTTTCAGGAAGAGTGAAAGAGAGCTGCTTGCTTTGGCTTTCAGATGGGGTGGAGAAGAGTCGAAGTCTCAGATTGCAGCTTCAAGAGTTTTGGTATTTTTACCTCCGGCATTCCCTCCGTCTTAAACCGGCGAGCACTCGTGCCTAACTCTCCTGGTCCCTCGGGCCTCTCTTGCTGAGCCGAGATGTGACATGGGAGAAGGAGCCCCAATCAACAAAAGCTGGCGAGCACTTAGGCCTTTCATCCATCGCACTCGAATTGGTCTACTTAAAGGATCATGGGACTTAGTAAGTAGGGTTATAACTAAGGTAACTATACTTATAACCCCAATTAAGGGACTTATAACCTTACTTACTCAACCCTAAACCCTAAACCCTAAACCCTAAACCCTAAACCCTAAACCCTAAACCCTAAACCCTAAACCCTTACTTACCAAGTCCCATGATCCTCCAAGTACAGGGATGAAGCCGGAAGTTCGATTTCACAGCCCCTGGAAACCTGTCACCTGCCGCCCACAGCCCTGAAGCTCAAATCCTACGGCCTTGAACTCCAAGCTTAAACCCCCAAGTTCTATAAATCAGCTTCAGTAAACTTAAACCACAAGTTCTATAAATCAGCTTCAGTAAACTTAAACCCCTAAGTTCTGTAGATCAACTTCAGTAAAGCCTGAATCTCAAAGCCTAAACCAGAGACCCAGAACCTCGACGCCACGGGTGGGTTGCCTACTCAGATCCACGTGTTCTCGCCACCACTCGAGAACCTCTTGATGACGCTGCCTCTCGGACGAAACACTCAACAAATTGAAACCCGACTAGCCCTAAACCCTGAACCCTAAACCCTAAACCCTAAACTTTACCCTATAAACCCTACACTGAGCAGCTTGTTCGTGAAGGGCTCTGCGCGGTCGGTCATGTGGGAGAAGATCATGGACGATACCGAGGAAGCAGAGCCCTCCTACTATAGGGGCATCAATTATTAGAATAGGGTTTGGGGTATATTTATGCTATAACTATAATATGGAACCCCAAAAGCCCTATTCGTAATATTAAGGCCCTTACATTACTGGTAGCGGCTAGCGTCTCGTGCCCTTCGTTCCTGTGGCCCCGCAGCTTCGGCTCTCGAGATTTGTGGAGCCTGAATCAAAAGCCCAAACCTCCTGCACGCCTCCAGAAACCCATAGTCCCAAAGTCTCGTCTAAGCCCGACAGATCAAATGCAGAATTCCCCTGAAGGTTTGGGAGGGTTTGGGGATTTGGCATGATTCACGCTAAGCCTTCCGTCGAGCCCCAAAATACTAAGCCCTAAACCCTAAATCCTAAACCCTAAACTCAAAGCCGAAACCGAAGCAACTAAACACCCGGGGATTCCCCAACACCGGGATCCTCTCGGGCTTCTATGATACGGGCCTTTGTTGCAATTACCTATGTTGATTTTGGGGCCTCCTTAGTACAAGTATAGCATAAAAAAAACCCAAATCCGGGTTGTTTGGGCTGGGCCCCCCAA